TCGCCACTGAAGTAATAACATCGCTGCGAGATCTAGTGAGAAGCATTTACATTTCTCCGTCATTAACCGTAGATCTCTATTTGATCAAACAGCACTGATGTGGAAACCAGGAGAAATATTGTGACGTGAAGGAACTACTTTACGTCCACAGACCAGCAACTTTCACCATGGATTTAATATAGTAACACTAACTGGAACCAGTTTGGCTGGAATAGTGAAATGCTTTCAAGTACTTCACACATCTTTTTCCAGCACTTCAAAACTCAAATATTATATAAATAAATATATATTTAAATGTTATTTTTAATGTGATGACCAAAACATTATTTGTTCATCCTTCAAAGATGACTTCCATTTATAAACCTGAAAGTTTCAAGATGTAGGAAACTCAAACCTATTTAAAAATATTTTTTCTTTTAATAAATAGGAGATTTCTCTGGCATTTCTTTCTTTCTGCTGTATCGAAAAGGTACCGAACCGTGACTTTAAAACCGAGGTACCGACCGAACCGTGATTTTTGTACCGTTACACCCCTAATATTTTGTATTATATATTATAAAATTGCAATTTTATGCCTATTTAATTTGTGAATTTCCTTTAAATGCAATTTAATAAGTTCCTCTTCCTGTCATTCAAAGTCAAATTCCAATGTAACATCCTGTGAGATACAGCTATTTCCCTTTAAATTCACACTATTAAATGGTGTGAGCGTCTTTGTTTGTGTATGTGTGACTATGGTTACATTTAATGAAAGGAATTATTTGATCACAGAATAAGAAGAGAACGATAATGATAACAGTGAAAAAAATAATAATCAAACAGTGTGTCCGGTACAGCTGTGGGACAGAAAGTTTTCCTCTGGCTTTAGAACATTTCTCAAATTACTTCCTTGAATTTAATTCCAAGGTGGATTAGCAGAATGTTTGTGGTGCTTATGAGCGTTTGAAGCGTTTATAAAGAGCATTCTTACTAACAATATTTCCATCTTGGAAGCATCTTATGAACAAAATGCACATGCACATCTGGTTTTAAGTCTTTAAGGGCAAAAAAGAAGAAAACAAATGGACACTGCACTCTGCAAAGAAAAAAAAAAACCCACATGGCCAACGCAAAAAGCTGAGAAACTTATTTCAAAACAGGATGAGATAAATGACAAAACTAGTGAAGGATAGTTCTGTGTTACAGGGTGAATCTTTTCAGTGCTCATCCGTCTTGTTCACAGACCATATGCTACTTATATCACAATCTTCAATCCAATTGGCTGGTTTTCTGGTAATTCCAGGAGTTAGGGTCAAAGGGTCAAAGTTTGGCTAGTTAGGACATGGACGTGAGTTTATGTAACTTCACCATCTGGTTTTGAAAATCATCTTACTGATCTTACTTACTGAAATGTGCTGAGCTGGTTATTATGTGGATGTGTATGTGTGTCTGTGGTTAAAACCACATATTCACTTCACCACAACTGATCAAGGACATTTAGTGACAAGATGCGCACATTAAAAATGAGACCAATTCAGTAGTACTCCAGTGAGCCATGGAAATTACCACAGCATGTTTTCATTTGCTCTGTGGGGATCGGTTTGATTCATTCCTCTTCCCTATCCATATTCCCCAAAAACCCTTTGGTTTGTGCACACAGTTAAGAGCTTTAAGATTTTTTTAATCAATCTCATTATTGGGCAATTAATTAATCAAAATGATCACAATTAAAAGGGTTTGTTCACCAAAAAATCTAAATGATCCCATCATTTACTCCCCCTCAAGCCATCCTAGGTCTATCTTTTTTTAGCCAAACACAATCTGAGTTATATATACACTCACCGGCCACTTTATTAGGTACACCTGTCCAACTGCTCGTTAACACTTAATTTCTAAGCAGCCAATCACATGGCGGCAACTCAGTGCATTTAGGCATGTAGACATGGTCAAGACAATCTCCTGCAGTTCAAACCGAGCATCAGTATGGGGAAGAAAGGTGATTTGAGTGACTTTGAACGTGGCATGATTGTTGGTGCCAGAAGGGCTGGTCTGAGTATTTCAGAAACTGCTAATCTACTGGGATTTTCACGCACAACCATCTCTAGGGTTTACAGAGAATGGTCCGAAAAAGAAAAAACATCCAGTGATCGGCAGTTCTGTGGGCGGAAATGCCTTGTTGATGCCAGAGGTCAGAGGAGAATGGCCAGACTGGTTCGAGCTGATAGAAGGGCAACAGTGACTCAAATAACCACCCGTTACAACCAAGGTGGGCAGAAGAGCATCTCTGAACGCACAGTACGTCGAACTTTGAGGCAGATGGGCTACAGCAGCAGAAGACCACACCGGGTGCCACTCCTTTCAGCTAAGAACAGGAAACTGAGGCTACAATTTGCACAAGCTCATCGAAATTGGACAATAGAAGATTGGAAAAACGTTGCCTGGTCTGATGAGTCTCGATTTCTGCTGCGACATTCGGATGGTAGGGTCAGAATTTGGCGTCTACAACATGAAAGCATGGATCCATCCTGCCTTGTATCAACGGTTCAGGCTGGTGGTGGTGGTGTCATGGTGTGGGGAATATTTTCTTGGCACTCTTTGGGCCCCTTGGTACCAATTGAGCATCGTTGCAACGCCACAGCCTACCTGAGTATTGTTGCTGACCATGTCCATCCCTTTATGACCACAATGTACCCAACTTCTGATGGCTACTTTCAGCAGGATAATGCGCCATGTCATAAAGCTGGAATCATCTCAGACTGGTTTCTTGAACATGACAATGAGTTCGCTGTACTCAAATGGCCTCCACAGTCACCAGATCTCAATCCAATAGAGCATCTTTGGGATGTGGTGGAACGGGAGATTCGCATCATGGATGTGCAGCCGACAAATCTGCGGCAACTGTGTGATGCCATCATGTCAATATAGACCAAACTCCCTGAGGAATGCTTCCAGCACCTTGTTGAATCTATGCCACGAAGAATTGAGGCAGTTCTGAAGGCAAAAGGGGGTCCAACCCGTTACTAGCATGGGGTACCTAATAAAGTGGCCGGTGAGTGTATATATATATATATATATATATATATATATATATATAAAAACAAAAAACATCCCGGCTCTTCCAAGCTTAATTATGGGAGTGAATAGCCTAGTAACTAGGATTTTGAAACTCTAAAAAAGCACATTCCATCCATCATAAATGTAATCCATATGACTCCAGTGTGTGAATAAAGGCCTTCTGAAAAGAAGCCAGGCGTGTTTGTAAGAAAAAATATTCATATTTAAAACTTGATGAACTATAATCACTGGCTTTCGGCAACAGCTGTACACTAGTCTAGTTCTAGCAGAGGAGTTATCTCTGGCCAGACGCATGACGTATTGACAGACACAGAAGTGCAAAACAAAACAATGGTCATGAATTAGAAGACTAAAATGAGAATTTGTAAAGAGAAATGTGGAGATTGAGTTTGTTCCCCATCCCTATTTGTTTGAACCATAAGATGGATGGGCTTCAAAAACTCTGGCACTATTCACTGCCATTATAAAGCCAGGATAGTTTTTTAATATAACTCTGATTGTGTTTGGCTGAAAGAAGAAAACCCTATACACCTAGGATGGTTTGAGGGCAAGTAAATGCTGGGATAATTTTCATTCTTGGGTGAACTGTTCCTTTAATTGCAATATTTGCTGAGTAAAACCCATTACCATATTGTAGCCAGGAACATAGTAAACATTATAACACTTTTAGAAATTTCTAATTTTGCACTCACTCCCACCTTTGAATAAATAATAATTATATTGTAATAGTTTTATTTTGCTTGTCGCCAGGATGAAGATAAAAAATGTAGCTAAATGGCAATTTTAAGATATCCAAATGGCCGCCAAAAAAATGTGGCTTAAATCCTTTGATTTTCCTTCCAGATTTTAGTACTTTACCTACCCTCAGGTTTATATTGAGTGATCAACACTCAAAATAACCCTGAGCTCAATCTGGCAACCAAAGTCTCGTCAGTAATTCCCAGAGCTCCTTTAATAACAAGCCAATGCGTATTTGTGACCATTCCCGAGATCCTCCCAGCACGTGTTGGGACCTAAGTTGGACACTGGACTTGTTGCAGGAAGCTTAATTCTTGCTGACAGCCCAGGCACGGACCAAGCAGCGGCTACTTTCAACACAGCTGTGAGAAGAGTTTGGCTTTAAAGCGAGCTGTAAAGTTTGCAGAGAGATAGCTGTTGATTTGTGTGAATGCCTCACTGTCGAAAACAACCAAGTAAAGATGTGAGGGTCACCTGAAATCGATAAGTTTAGGTAAAACTTCTTGTAATCTGCAGCTTTATACCAGTCGAAGCTGTTCATGACCTCATCACTCCATTTAAAGTCATTCCTTCATTGTCTTCCTGTAAACCTTCAATCCCAATCTGGACTTTAGACCCATTTCCCCATTACTAGAGCATTGGTTGCCCAGTCTGTAGCCATACATACATCATTAAATTGGTTAGAAACATTAGGTTGCATAATAACAAAGTTTTTATGTGAATAAAGTTGTGGAAAATGGTGACCCAACAGATTGTTTTGCCATTTTTGCTGATTTGGACACGGTCTGTTGGCTTTTAATTGTCTTCAACCAAAACTAACGTTTATATCTTTCTATCTTTCTCTTATATGCGCCTCCTTTTTCTTTTGGTTGGAAACCTAATAAAGTCACAGAGAGGCATTTTGAAGTTTATAGTCTTTTTTTTTCCTCTCTAGCTTGTGGTTTTCAGAGAATGTCCCTGTATTGGGTTTGGCAGGGTAAACTCCTCTCTTTTTCTAGCTCTGGAAAAGTATAGTAATGCAGTAAAGCATGTATTGATGTTTATATTTATAATTTGGGTTGGTGAAATGGGGCAAGTTGAAAAGAGTTTAATGGTGTTCAAATTCCCAAGGGTCAAAGAGACTCAAGTGTTAACAGACCCACCTGAGAAACTGCATTTCAATGTATTCTCTAGATTAAATTAAAAAATAGTGCAACAACAGAGACGGATTAAAAAAGAAACAAAACTTCTTGTTTTTATTATTGTAAAATACATACAGAGGAAAACAAATCCAGAACAACAACAACAAACAACAGTTTCATCTTACAAACATATTCCATGAAAATACGGATAAGCCAGAGAAACTCTGCCAAGGGATTGGCAGGGACATAACTGTACAAAATATGGGACCCAGACAAGCTCTCCTTGAAGTATTAAAATCTTCAAGACTCCTTGAATGTATTCAGGGGGTTAACACTCAAAAAAAGCGAGAATTATTTTTAAAAACTTGTATCGTGTTTCACAAGCTTGAGGGGGAAGGTCTTTAATTCTCTCATAGGTTTCCTGAAAAAAATACTCTCTCCATATACATATAAATACATTTGTGCTGTGCAAATTGCAAGAGTAAGGTCATCCTTACTATCTAGAACCATCAAATATACCAGGACATACATGGGAAGACAACAGCCATGGTACAAAGCATCTGAGTGAATGAGAATTTGCATGTGTTGTGTGTGTGTGTAGATGTGCGTGCGTGTAGATGTGCGTGCGCATGTAAAGAAAATGATTATGTTCATCCCAACCCATTGTAAACATAGACGTGTTGTCGTCTTGAGTCCATCCTTTCTATTCTAGTGTGGGTAAGCTGACTTGTTGAGCCAGTACAATGTGTTTGTAAAAGCAACATAGCGAAGAGTCCCAGCTATACATATAATCTGACAGAACAGAGACCTAAACTAATACAGCTGCCTCTGGTGGTAGACAAAAGCCCAGGCTGTCTTAAAAGCACTTAATAAAAGCCTGGCCCTTTCTCACTGAAAGAAAACCAGTGAAGAAACCACAAACTTTGATAAATAATATTACACAAAATATCAAAATAGTTTCAGGGAGCCAGCTTCCCAATATTTAAACAAGTATTTTTTTACCTTTCTTTTTTTATGTTCATCACTTCAATGTATCCGGTGTATTTCTCATAATGAACTAATTTTTTTTTTTGTTCTAGTTACTGTACGATAAATAAAAAGATGAGGCATTGTTTTGCTATTACATGTCACAAATGCCCTAAAAAGTATTCCCTGACTCTTTAATCCTGTACACTATTATACATGGTACGAACTTTCGGTGATGTAGGCTGAGGAGTGACCAAACTCACTATCATTGGTGGGGGTGAACAGTAAAAACAACAAAACAAAACTGTCATGTGACATTAGCAGGCACCGACCCCAACCAATGAGAGTTGCTCTTCAGGGTTCTGTCTGGACGCTGTCCTACCATTTCCCTGGGATTGGTGTACCACACTCGTACCATGCAATGTAGGTGATGTGAGAGTTTCCACCTATCTGGCCGAAGTGGACTGGCTCTTGTCTCATTGCTCTGTAGAAACCTGAAAATCATCAAGAAAAGCATGAGCCATGTAATTGGTTGCATTCAAACTTGCATACTTCCTTACTCTTTAGTAGGCGAAAAACAGTATGTGACAAATGTAGACAAATGACAAAAGTATGTCCGAATTCAGAGTTCTCATACAAGATGAGATGCATATAATGGACACTTTACTATCCCATGAGGCCACGGGAGAAGTTTATTAGTGAAGGTGAAGCGGCTAACGCTATGAGGGTAACATGACTGATGTCGTACGTCCGAATTACATTCATACTATATAGAACATACTTTTTTAGCGGTCGTGAAGTAATTACTAATTCAAAAAAAGTACCTACTCAAGATAGTATGCGATTTTAGATGTCATAGTGTTTGTGTCAGAAACAAATAATTCCAAGTTTGAGGATGTGAGAAGCTCTGAGCAGAATGTCAACAGGTCGTTGTCTCATTATGTTTATTACAACATGGTGTCGACGCAGCAAAAGTCTGCATGGGGACCGAAGATTTCAAGCTTCAAAAAGGATGCAAAGGTATGAGTTTAATAAAAGTGGTTTATATGACTTGTATATCAATATCTATACTGTATAAATCCATTACTGTATATTAAGTTTTCAGAATTCATACAATAGATTTGTGTGAATAGCCAAAATAATTAATTTTCAATGACAATCTTCCCCTCTAGAGCTGTTAACTGCTGCAAATGGATAATTGATTCACTGAAGCGGATCAATATAATTTCACAATTAATCATTCAGAAGAGTTTTGTGAACTGGATCAACCGGTTTCAAAAGAAAGCTTCATTCTGGGTTTGGAACTTCAAAAAGGTGAGTAAATAAAAAACAATTATAAGCACAGTTACATTATATCAGTGGTTTCTTGCCGTTCTAATATCAATCAATCAATCAACTTTTATTTATAAAGCACAATAAAAACAACAGTAGTTGAACATTGTGCTGTACAGAAGAAATAAAATATCGTAAAAAAAAAAATAACAAGACTGACCGCAAAACTAATGAGAAAAAGGGGGGGGGGGTACATCGAAACCACCAATTTGACCATTCAACATTAAATCAAGGACACTTGTAGGCCAGTGAAAACAGGTAGGTTTTTAACTTAGATTTAAAAACAGACTCGAAGGATATTAATCTTAAAGATACAGGAAGACTATTCCATAGTTTTGGACCAACAACAGAAAAAGCACGGTCACCTCTCGTCTTCAGCCTTGATCTTGGAACCATCAACAATCTTTGTTGAGATGACCTCAATGATCTAGTACAGTCATTTAGTTTCAAAAGATCAGACAGATAGCTTGGAGCTAAATTGTTCATGGCTTTAAAAACAAAAAGCACAATTTTAAATTCTATTCTATGACAAACTGGTAGCCAGTGCAACGAACGCAGTATTGGGCTGACATGATCAAACTTCCTTGTGCCAGTCAAAAGTCTGGCTGCTGCATTTTGGACCATCTGAAGACGACTAATATTGGACTGGCTCATTCCAATATAAAGAGAATTACAATAGTCAAGTCTAGATGAAATGAACAAATGAATCACTCTCTCAAACTCTGCAAATGTCAAAAAGCTCTTTGCCTTAGATAATAGTCTTAATTGAAAGAAACTAGATTTAACTACGGCACTTATCTGTTTGTCAAATTTAAGATACCTGGCCTTGATGGTAGCTGGTCTGCAGGAAGCTGAGTTCCTGTTCTGCCATCTAGGAATGAGTCCACAAACTGGCAGTGGTCTTCACCGTGACCCGTCTGGTCTCCAATATTGTAGAATTTACCTAAAGAAAAGGTACAGGGAAGAAAAGAGCAGCTAATTTATAATCTATTCCTAATATAGTTATAATTTATATAATCTATAATCTAATTTATAATCTATTGTATGGATCAGTTTTTAGAAGACTGACCGTTGAGGGAGTCGCTCAAGTAGATCTTGTACCGAAGGGAGTTGCAGAGTTGGATGCCAACAAATTTGCGGTACCATGTCCTCTTCACATACTGCTTCCCGTTGCACTCGGAGTAGGAGTCGGTTTTGAAGGGGAACTGGGTCCAAATGGCATCTTTACCTGAAAAGCATGCCGAGAAACCCCAAGATGTTATTTTACAAACTGACAAGGCCAGATATTATGTTCTGGCGCAGATTGAGCAAAACAATGTTTCTTTCAGTGGTCTTTTGAAAAGATTACTGGAGTACAGACCCCGTTTTTGTTTATACACGTGTTAGAAAAGGCTTGCTGGACACTAAGAGCAGAGGGGCTGCTACATTAGTCTGTGTTTCCATTGGCTCCTGTCATAACCTTGTCTGACTTCGCTCACTATATCCATTGTTCATTACTCTCAATTTCATGTAGAATAGACAATACACAGGAAGAAATCGAGGGAGATGAATATCAAATTGGCCCATTCTTGCAACCCATTAGTGCAAGAAGGCAACCAAGGCCCTTATTTGAGAACAGGGATGGAAGAGGATGGTGTTATCCATTTGCCACTTTTGAGTAGATGTTTTATCTGGCTGAGATCTTGGTATGGAAGAAGTGAACTCATAGGAAGTCTCCACAGCTCCCTTACTCGTTCGTTTTCTTTCCTCTACTAGGACTGCTCATTACATTATCCATTTATTCAACAGATAGGAATTTGTCACCTGAGAGAAATAGGGTGCAAAGCAGAAACACGTACCTGAGACGTTCTCGCTCACTCGCGGATCCGCTGCAAGAGAAAACAAGGCTCAAATGAGGAGAAATCAGAAATTGTGGTTTTGTTTTACAGCCACCTGGTCATAGAGACGATCAAAATGATCTGTAGCCTGCAGGAAAGTTAAAGACACAAATCGGCCAACTCTGTATTGGCTATCCATGGGTGGGCAGAGTGCCTTGAGCAAAAAACAAAAGTACAATAAATTCCAATAAGCAGAAAATACTGTGCTTTTCCAGCGGATTTTGAATATCCCTTATGAAGAGAGATCAGCTGGCATGAACTAACCTGCTGGATCTGCCAAAGCTATAGGGTAGAGACTGAGCCTCAGGGGTTTTGGCGGTAAAATCTCATCATTCAGTTTTCCTCTATTTCTTCTCCGTCATCGCACATATGGACTCTCGTTCCTTCCTAGTTGCCTTTGCCCTGCTTTCCATTTTGTTGCTAGACTTTCCTTATGCAGGCCAGACTAGGTTTAAAACTAAAGCCTCCTCCCATAAAACATGTGGATGATATGGGTCTTTATTTTTTCCTTATTTATGATATGTTGTTAGTGAGCTTGTAAGACAGGGAAAGGTTGGATGTGTGACAACGCTCCAGGGGTGCATCAGCAGGCAGTGATGGGGCCAAACGTTACGACAGTGCAGGGACATGCTGGAGTCATTATGCTAATGACAAGCAACTCATTACATATACTGTATCTCTAAGAGATAAAGGAGAGGTCACAAATATTGGCTGACTTTCACAAGCCATGGAAAAGCAATTTGTAGCACTCCTCTGAGGATATTTACATTGAATGCCTAATGTATGACTTTAAAAACATATTTTATTTTAAAACTGGGATTTGGTTAGAATACGACGACTCATGGTTTAACTATTACCGAAATAAACAAACATTCAGATAGCTCTAGGACATCTATTTCACATTAAATAATGCATATGAATAGATAAGATACGATCAAAATTCTCTTGGAAATAAATTTTATAAGGGTCTTTAAGTGTGTCCACAATAAAGAAAAGGAAAAATCTTGTTAGTTTAAACATGTGCCAAAAAATTTACTTTTTGTATTTGTGGTTTTATATGGTTTTAAAACAACTTTTATACCATTTATCAGAATGTTTACCCCACAATATGTAATGAAACCATCAAGTTAAAAAACAACAACAAGATTTTTTCATACACCTTATGTATAAGTAAATGTTCACATTTTAGTTAGTTCACAAGTTTTTAAATCTATTTTTTTAATTCAAAATGGAGGGATGTCCCGAGTCAATCTCAAGTATCGTCATCGGGGCTGATTTGGCAATTTTTTTTTTATTTGATAGACTGAAAGTCTGGCATTCAGATCGGTGCCAAAAAAATAAGTAAAATAAATCTTGATTAGGACATACCTTGTAAAAAGTTTGTGTGTGTGTGTGTGTGTGTGTGTATATATATATATATATATATATTAATATCATGAATGATTAATTCATAAAAGTCATTAAGTTTTACAACCGGAACTAACCTTGCCTAGTCTTAAAGGGGTCGAATTAAATACATTTGGGGGACAGAATTGTTCAAATAAGCAGTGAGTTTATTTTGTTAAAATGTTTTTAATTAAGAATTAAGAGAGAATGCATTACCAGACTCTGTGTTGAAAGACACTGGTTCGCTGGGTGGCCCTTCACCAAGCTCATTCTTGGGCTTCACCTTGAATTCATAACTGTAAGGTAAGAAAAACAGAGGTGATGGGACATTACGTTTCTGCTTTGATCCTCATAAAACCATTAAGTATATTAATTTCAGATCTAATGTTATGCTTCTGACAGTGCTTCTGAGTCTGCTTAATCCAAAATTATTAAAATTGACTTCTGTATTGGAATCCTGGTGGGCTGTTGTCAAATTCCGAGCAAAATGAGGTTCTTATTTCCCGTCTTCTGAGCCCTGACACTTGATATATTTATTCTGCAGAGACTGAGGACTCAAATCCTGTGCCCCCCTTTTAATGGATCCTCCATGTGGGATGTAGAGACATAACCAAGGCCCACGTGCCTTGAGAAGCAGTCCATAGGAAGCCCTGGTTTATATTGTGTCACCAGATCTTGAGCCTATATTCAGCCTCATTAAAAAGCTAGCAAGCATGACGGCTCCCCTACAGCCAGACCAGAGCGCGTAAATTCAACACCTTGTCCAGGCCTCAGGATGCGTGCAAGTCTTAACGCCCCTGGTATTTGACACCCACATCAACTAAAATACATCTATCAAATTCAGCAGAGTGCCTTAAATAGAGAGGTTGGTGTTCTGCATTTAAACTGTACCTGCTCTCTGGTTTAAGGTTCTCCACAGCTGTATGAGTCTGGTTGGTGGTCAGAATAGAAACCTGTTCACCATCAGGACCTTTAGTTGTTGAGATAACCTCATATTCTGTGAAAAGTCAAATGACAAAGAAATGGTTACACCACAGTTTGGTTACACCAAAGTTGAGAGTTAGTTCCTTACAGTTAAAAGTTGAAAGTGTTTGACCAATTGAAGTTGAGGGTTAGTGTTTTACCAATCCAAGCCAAAGTTTAGTGTTTGACCCATTAAAGTCAAGGGTTGGTGTTTTATAGATCAAAGCCAAGGGGTTAGTGTTTTATATATCAAATTCAAGGGTTAATGTTTGACTGATCAAAGTCGGGGTTAGTGTTTGACTGATCAAATTCGAGAGTTAGTGTTTGACTGATCAGTCAAACACTAACCCTCGAATTTGATCAGTCAAACACTAACCCTCGGATTTGATCAGTCAAATACTAACTCTCGAATTTGATCAGTCAAACACTAACCCTCGAATTTGATCAAAGTCGAGAGTTAGTGTTTGATCAAAGTTGAGGGTTAGTGTTTGACTGATCAAATTTGAGAGTTAGTATTTGACTGATCAAATTTGAGGGTTAGTGTTTGACTGGTCAAATTTGTGGGTTAGTGTTTGACTGATCAAATTTGAGGGTTAGTGTTTGACTGGGCAAATCTGTGGGTTAGTGTTTGACTGAGCAAATCCGAGGGTTAGTGTTTGACTGATCAAATCCGAGGGTTAGTGTTTGACTGATCAAATTCGAGGGTTAGTGTTTGATCAAATTCATAGTCGAGAGTTAGTGTTTGACTGATCAAAGTTGAGGGATAGTGTTTGACTGATCAAAGTTGAGGGATAGTGTTTGACTGATCAAATTCGAGAGTTAGTATTTGACTGATCAAATTTGAGGGTTAGTGTTTGACTGATCAAATTCGCGGGTTAGTGTTTGATCAAATTTGAGAGTTAGTATCTGACTGATCAAATTCGAGGGTTAGTGTTTTACTCAGTCAATGATTAGTGTCTGACTTATCTAAGTCATGGGTTAGTTTTTGACACATCAAAGTTGACCAATCAAAGTAAAAAAGAGGGTTTGTGTTTTACGAATCAACGTTTTCAGTTAGGTTAGTGTTAGTTATGTTTTGACTCATCAAAGTTGACAAATGAAAGTAGAGAGTTTGTGTTTGATCAATCAAAATCATGGGTTAGTGTTTGACAGATCAAATCCAAGTGTTAGTCATACCCTAATCCTAAGACAAGGTCAAATTCCATTCTAACACCACAATATATTACACATTCCATTCCTCAGATACAAATGGGTATAACCAAGTAGACATTAAACTATGGGTTTCCATTGATAATCCATCCCTCTATCCTACCTGTTGTTTCATTATCGGTTTTCTCCCAGTCGAGAATAATGAAGGAGGGGCATCCTTCCACGGTTACAACAGTGAGATTGGATGGGGCTGTTTTTGGAGGGTTAGTGACATTTTGTTCTCCACCCTCCTCCTGAGGGAAGTAACTCAGAGAGGTGGTGATGGAGCAGGGCTCATCTGGCTTCTTATCTGTCTTGTAGACCACATGTGGAGCTGGACAACAACACATTTGTGTTTAAATTCAGACACTTCTTTGCTTTGTTTATGAAACTCAAATTAGCATCATTCAGAGTTTTTGGCATGCACGTCTCCAGTGATTAAGAAAGTATCATTACCAATGTAGCGTTCTTTGCCCAAGGCATCAACTTTAGAAGCAGGAACAGAGCTGAATACAGAAGAGTTCTCCCAGGTCTCAAATCGGGGTGCTAGGACACCAAAAATATGAACAGTGTAAATAATTTCAAACCAATGGGTAACAGATGGTTACCATCAGGGTATTTTTAAACACCACGTGAAAATGTAATAAAAAAATGTTTAACCTTCTGCACAATATTGCAGAATATTATAAAAAAAAATCTATGAAGACAAACCTGTCACTGCAGGAGATGTTGTCTTTGGTTTGGATGGTTTTGCTGTAACAGGTGGTGGCTTGGGTTTAAAAAAAGAATCTTTGTCCTGATTCAGGTCTGCTATCTTGTCTGCTGTGTACATTAATGAGTGAGTGAATACATTAAATGTTTTAAACATAAAATCTTCCTAAGTTGTTCAGTGTTAACTGGCAGAAAAGCATGTAAAACATTTTTTATTCAAATTTCTGTAGTCTAGGGGTCAATTGTTATGACAAAATAATTTTTTGCTCTTTTTTGATTGTAACTTTTTACCCACCTAATTCTCCAGGCTTGCCCACAAGATTAGGCTTTTTTGGTGGAATAGGAGGGCGTGCTGCTGGAGAACCTGCAATGATGGAAGTGAAAGAATCAAGTTTCCTCTCCCTTTTCCAGTAATGAATGAACAAACAAGGACGTGGTAAGTCAAAAATGGCACCAAAAACACAGCAGTAAGAGGTCAGAAGCCGTTAGTTCCATATATTTGCCACACAACCCACTTATTATCTATCTTTTACCTTATCAAATACCTTTTGGTCTTATTTTTAGAATATTTGGTGTTAATTTCCACTGTGGATGACACTCAGCTCTATTTGTCAGCCGCCTGTATAATTGCTTGAACTTCTTCCATTGAGCACATCTCTCCTGAACTTTATCAATTACACTGGCTTCCTGTTAAACATTGTGTACAATAAGAGATTCAGCTTTTCACTTTTAAAGCTCTGCAAAATCTTGTTCCCTCTCTGACTTGACACATTTATACTCTCAACCGTACTCTTAGATCTTCCTCATCTTTTCCCATTGTTAACCAGCAGTACGTTTAACCACTATGGGATCCAGAGTGTTCAGCTGTGCTACTCCTTGTCTCTGGAACTCTCTTTCGCAATTTGTATTTGAAAGTGATTTTCATGAATTTTAAACCATGTCTTAACTCCATCTTTTTAATTATAATTTTTTTTAATTTTTACTCCATCTTTGATTGTTTTGAAAGGAGCCTATAATTAAAATGCATAAGTATTACTATTATCCTGCTCATGCTATTCACACATCTTCCTAATATTCCTAATGTTTAACTCAGGTTAAATCTTAACTTAACATTTAAAGGGATAGTTCACCCAAAAATGAAAAATAAGTCATTAATTACTCACCCTCATGTTGTAACAACCCTGTAAGACCTTCGTTCATCTTCGAAACACAAATGAAGATATTTTTGTTTAAATTTGAGAGGTGGACCACTGCTACATAGGCTGCCTAAGGGATTGAAACTTGACGCATGCATGAGAACTGCGATCTTCTTCTACTACTTGTTCAGTTCTCGTGCATGCGTAGTGGAAATCTCTTGAAAAGGAATAGTCGAATAAAGTCGTTATTTTTGTTTGTTTTTTCGCACAAAAGTATTCTTGTTGCTTGAAAAACTTAGCTGTGCCACTGTTGTCACATGGAACGTTTTAACATTTTCTTCAATGACTTTCTGGGCCATCAAGTTTCAATCCCTTAGGCAGCTTATGTAGCAGTGGTCCACCTCTCAAATTTAATAAAAAAATATCTTCATTTGTGTTCCGAAGATGAACGAAGGTCTTACGGGGTTGGTACAGCATGGGGGTGAGAAATTAATGACTTCATTTTCATTTTTGGGTGAACTATCCCTTTAATTCTCATGAAAAACAGTGGAACACATCACTACCAGACTCAACTTAGTTCAGCATTTTTTTTTTTTTTTTTCAGAAAAGCAAAAGGCAATACAAGTTTAATGCAAAAATGTCCCTTTCATTAAATTGTTTGGGGTTGAATGAGTTTGACACCTCTTTGATTTTAGTGGCTTTTTTCCTGCTTTTTTTTAGCCTTTAAATATTTATATTTAGTGTTTTTGCCTTTAGTATGATAGGACAGTTGCAGACAGGATGCAAAGAGAAGGACAGGATCAGGAAATATCCACGATATGTCGGCGTACTGCCCGGCGTATCGGCGTCGACTGCTTTCAGCTTTTAAGACATTGGCATATTGATAAATAGGAAAGAGAAATAAATCCAATAAGCCTATTTGAAAATGCAAAGGACAAGAAATCTCCTAATATGAAAACATTAATTTCCAAATCCTTGATCTATGGAAACTAGAGTATCTCATATTCTAAATAATCAAACTGACTATGCAATTTGGATGCTTTGCTAAATGGGAGCAGCAAATTGCTCAAACTCAAAGTTAATTGGAAATGAGAGAAAATTGCTTGTTTTCTTTCTCATTGCATGGATGAAGTCTAACCATTGGCACTTCATCCACCTTTTAAGCCTTCAGTTCTCAGTGCCATCTTGGAGTACAGTCAAAAGCAAACTGATTCAATTTACATTCAGTTCATCACAGGGCAATCAAACCGAGCGCAGCTCACTAAACCGTGTGGTACAAGTTAAAAAATGCTGGTGAAAAAGCCAAGCTATGCTGAAAATAAAACTAAAGACCAACAGATGTCATACTTTTACAGAGGGAAAGCAATTTCCAGAGAGGTAGCTGAGGTTTTCGTTGGTGATACCCAATGTTTTGGGTGATCTAAAACTTTTGTGGTATCATGACAGTGGTTAGAACATTTCAGGCAGTCACTGTCAAGCAAATCTGCCATACGACCCCTCTTTAATGAGAGCCATCTCTGATTTCCACAGATCTTTGGCTTTTGGTCAGAAGATAGAGAATCCATGCCAACAAACTGCTAATTTAAATGATCTGTTGTGTTGTATTCCACTGTCTTTGCACAAGCTATACAATGTGACATCACTTTGCAGATTGTTGTTTCTCATCAAGTTATCAAATAATAGGGAAGAGTTTGAGCAGGCTAATATCCAAACATTTAGTGTAGTCGTACATACTTTTGGTAATTTAAATATCACAGTGATGGAGTCATACTGCATAGTCTTGGAAAGTACGCCATATTGCAGAAGTCTGCTGCATCTTCCAAAACCAAGTCTCTTCAGAACCGATACACTGTGTGTTTGAATTCACCTCACCGCATATTTTGTGTCTGTTACCCGATTTGTCAACTAGTTCACTAAAGCAATTCCTAGCAAGGTCCCCTTGAATTTTGGGTTGAAAATAACAGTAATGTGAATGAATAGGTTGTGGATAAATACTAAACTTTTGTCATCTTTCAGCCTTTTTTGTTTTTGCTACACAGATAAATAGTATGGCATATTGAAAAAGACCTCATACCACATGGAAGCTCGTGACTACAATAAAGCATGCAAGTAGTCATGCACACAATGAACTTTAACCAGAAGCAGCAACAGTCCTCTGCAGAAGGGAGTTTCAAACATTATTGCTGAAATGCACAAATAAAAGAGCCACAGAATGTTACGAGACAGTTTAGGACATTGCGGTGGGTTTCTGTGTCCTCCAAAAGACATGTTTTTCTCTTGAAAATAAATGTCCTACAGCACCATGATGGTTTAGAAATGAAAGAAACCAATCTGGGGAAAAGCTTTGACAATTACACCACAAAGCTCGCGGCAGCATGGGATCTGCAGAAGCTTGCAAAACGACAACAAACGTTGAAGACAACAGGCAGATTTGCGAGCAAATGGGTTGACTGGTGAATGAGTAGATGGATGAATGGACAGACACGAGTTTACAGGAGATTATGGATGGGAAGGACACCAACATGGGCATGTGGGCTGCGTCACAAACAATGTTTCTGCAGGTTAATGATGGCTAACACACAAACAGGACGAGTTGGCTCTGTTTACCCATTCTTGGTCTGGACCACATGACGTGTTTGGGGAGAGAAAGTCCCTTATGGTGCTCACCGTTAACTGTTGGAGGGGAAAAGAGTGGATGTTATGGAGAAAAGGAAGAATAAGGTAGCATCATGTTGTTTTTGCTGAGATGCACTGCAGCTAAAGAAAAGAGAAGTTTACATAGAGAGTTATAGACGGCCGCTCAACTGCCTGAGGGGAAGAGAGGCCTTTCAAGATCAGATTAGTGCAAATGCTGGCGGTCTGCGTGCCCATCGGGCTAAATCACACATACTTTGCTGACAGTAAAACGTCAGGTGTGACAGAGTATGATGGCTGGTTTGCACCCACACACCACATGTTTCAAAGGAAAAAAATTGAGCTCTTAAAGAGAAAATGCCCCAAGAGAGCTGCAACCAAATGACATTGTGTTGACAGGGGAGAATGGAGAGCAAAAGAAAAGAAAATCATTTTCTTGAGTAATAATATTTTTTTTACTAACTATTTTTTGTTGTTTCTTAAGTTAGGTAAAAATTATAAAAAAAAGAAAAGCAGAAGAGAAAACACAAATAAGAGTACAGAAAGAAAATACTAGCGTAAGAGGGGTAAGAGTAATGTCTTTTACCCCCATATCTTCTAGAGGAGTCGCCAGGCCTGGGGGAAGAATGTCTCATGCCATTAGAGAGAGAGAAAGGGTTTCTGCTCAGTGACGTCTGGTTCCTGGTGGTCACTGTTAGGACTGAATCGATGGGTTTGGATGGAAGAGAAGAGATGGAGTCTCTCCGGATGCTCTTACCTAGATAAAAAAAACAACAGCAGTTTTTGTTATGCCTTGTCGGCTCTAGGAAGTGCATGCTGGGGCAGATACTGAACAATTATGTAACACTGCTATGTGTTAAAAAGCTTTTCTATCTGTGAGAGATGTCAAAGTTAGCTAGTTGTGTTTCAACATATCATCAAGGGATTTAAGTTTTCTGTAAGTGTTGATTCTGATCTTCAAATGCTAAATTAAACTGTATAGTACATTCTTTCACCAAATGGAAAATGACATGAACTCTGTTCCAAAATAAGCGATCTGTCTCGCTAGCCTAGTGGTAGCATCCTATCTGAAATTACTGAAATCACACGCAAAGTACAATAGAGACCCGACATAAAATTGATTTCAATAGTATCATGCTAGCATGTTGCTAAGCTAACAGTGCAACATTTCAATAAACATAAATATATAGCGTAATATAATTATATTTCAGTTTTAATTTTAATTTATTTTATTTAATAATACCTAATTATACCATTACGACTATCATTTGATTTGCATAATTATATGTTTTCCACATAGGATGTATGCTAGCATGTTGTGTACATTTTGGAACGCTTACAATGCGTAAAAAATACTGTCTTTGTTGGCAGCTTACTACATTGTTTTAGATAAAACTGGATGATGTGTGAATTTAACAATAATAATGTCAGTGTTCTGACTACAGTAAGGCTAAATCTGATGTGTTGGTGGTTGCATTAAAGTGCAGCAGTGCATTCCTGTGAAGACAAAACATGTGTAGGGGTGTAGGGGAGGATACAGGAAAGCTGTGACTTCAGACAATAACACAGACATGATATACACCGATGGGACAGTTGTGATAGCTTGCCTGACAGAGTAAATAAATGAGAGGATTATATGAACTGATGTAACCGGTTCTTACTGTTTTTACTGGCCGTCTCGCTCACACTGACTAGAGACAGCTCTTCCTGTAATCCATTGAGCCGGAGTGTGAAATAATGTCTTTTTGTGGCTGAAGTTAACGAATGAATGCATTTGATTGAAACGTGGTTTGAACATTCATTAATTTCTCGCGTATCACTTTTCTCCAAAACCGCCCAAAAAAAGAAGAGAATGAATTGAATAAGGCTTTGAAGTCTGATATTCTGGTGTTTAGACTACGTTTGCAGTGGTATAACGTGTAGCCAAAGGTTGAACGGCAAACTGTGTGGTAAATAGTGAATCACTAACGCGATATGTTATTTTCTCATTACCTGTCAACCGTTAACCTAAAAAATAAGAAGGAAACATAGGAATTACCAGAGGAACTATGTGGCATCTGAGTGGCATTAGGTGCCCTGGTGTGAGGGTGTCCGTGTAGGGGTGTCCGGGTACTGCTGGGTAAGGAATTGGGGGCAGGGGTGACTGAAGGACGGGAGGATTTAGTGGGTGGGTGTTGGGGAAGGACAGGAAGGACCTCCACCAGCTGAGAGGAGTCATTTCTAACATGGCTGTTTGAATCTGTTTAAGAGAAAGGAGCAGATGAGCCCTCCATGCTGGAAAAACCAAGTCATTCCAGCTCAAGGTGGTCTAGTTGGTCAACCAGTCGAAGATGGATCATGATTAACCAGCTTAACCAGTGTTCTAGCAGCTTAATCCAGGCTAATTTACGAGGTAGGATGACTGATAATCCATCTAGACCAGCCTGTACAAGCTGTTTCGACCACCTTGAACTGGTTTTACTTGGATGTTTCCAGTAGGACTGACTGTTGAGACCATTGATTAGAGGACAATTAGGGTGGACTTTAGATTAATGTTGTTAAGAATGTTTAAAGTTGTTTGCATTGCATCAATATTAAGCTTGTTTGTGAGAGTTTCTCAGTTCCATCCCATCGAGTTTTGATGGTACGGATGCTCAAGTGCCTGTTATCAACAATGAGCACTTGTCTTGACCGTTTTGTCAAGGGGGTTGAGAATGAACTTGTTGACTTTGGTCTCATAATCAGTTTGGCTCCAAGTGGAAAAACACAGAGAGATGTAATGTTATCTTATCCAGAGTTCAGAGACAGAGGAAGACAGGAAAGGAGGTTGGACTCCCAGATTTCTGCCTTTCCCTGGTAGAACTAATAACATGGGACTGATTCTTTCTCTGCATGCTGTGACTTCATGCAGACTGAACAAAGGCCAGCAGATCAAGATGCTAAAAACTGAAAAAGAATGAAAGGGTTAAGAAGATCAGATAAAGAGATGGAAGATGAAAAAACAAGATGAGGTTCAGAAAAATAGGATGAAGAGTGAACCTGTAATCTAGTGACAACTTCTATGTACTATGTAGTAAAAACAAATATGATGCCAGTCTTTGTAAAGTAATACCGTACTGATTCAATTTGGTACATGAGTGCTGACTGACATGCTAGAATTTTTTGACAATTCAAATTTTGATATCATGATAATATGACCTTACTCTGCCAATACCATGGTAAAGTGATGATTACACGATGATATCATGGCACACAATTGTGCACACCATGTTCAATACATAAAATTAAAAATGTAACATATAAATAACATATCTTTTTTATTTAGTTGAATAAGATTTAATTGTGCCATCATTTGATGTTAAATTTCCCACTATATATACAATTATTTTATTAATTAATAATTGTGGGGTACTTTGAGGTGTTTATCACTTAATGGGTTCCGTTTGGAAACATTCAGTATTGATATTATGGGAAATATTCAGTGACACAGAAGAACAAAGAAAAGGAATGGCAGAAATAAAGACATAAGAGTGCCATTTATGGCCACAGTAATAAAACAGATGGAGGACTGAGGAAACCAAACATTTTAACAGTTGTGAAGTGATTGACAGGTGATGAAATGATAGGGGACTGAATGAGTAGAGATGAGCGTGACAGAAAGAGAGCTGATTGGTGGACACAGAATCTGACTGGTGCTGATGGGTGGAGCGTGAGCAGCCCTACAGATACCACGCCAATGCGTGACCTCAGAGGGTTTTCCGCTGCACAGCATCCTTCTGGAAAACTTACACTCACTCTTCCTCCTCACTGTGGAGGCGACCGGTCAGGAATCCTCATCACGGCAGGATTGGGACTTTCTAACTCAGCGTTCTTACAAGGCATGCCAGCATGCAGCCAATCATAACAGCGGATGTCTTTAATCCCCGCCCACACCCAGCGCAAGCGATTACCAACTGACTGCTCATAAGCAAAACTTCAAAACAAAATTTCTCTTGGTTACCCAATGAGAGCTGAGGCCATTTTGGCTCATTGGCTCTTGGAGCAGCCACAGTTCCTTGCTGACCCATTGGCGGAGCTGTGGGAAATAATGCAATGTTTTGTAAATAAAAAAAATAAATAAATAAGAGAGAAAAAGTGAGCAGGCATCCCCAGCAAGGCTCTTGAGAGGGAGAGAGTATTAAATGTCTTTACTGTGAGCATGACTTCGATTGACTGCAATAAAACCCTGTATGACAGAAGAGTGCAAACAGAAAGAGTGAGGGAAAATTACCAAAAGATGTCTTGGGACCTCCATTAACGCCTGTGTTTTTGGGCGATCCTGGCTGGCTTATGTTGGGGATACCTAGAAAGAAGATTGTGAAGGAGAAAACCAACACAAAACACTTTCAAACAGATAGGGGGGAAAAGAACAGTACTGAATGTAGTTTGACCCATTTTACACATGGACTGAAACAATCTGTCATGATTTACTCTTACTTACTTGCAAGTACTCATCTAGCATACATTGACCAGGATTTGTCAAGCTATAAAAAGGCATATCAAGATTTAAAAAGATAAGCACCTTTAAAAAAGACCCCAAAAGATCAGCTTAATTAGAGACAATTATAAGTTACAAATAAGCATTTTGGTAGATTGCTTCCCAAGGAGAAAACATTGTCACCTTGCTATCAAAACATTGCTTTGCTTGTATGAGGATTCCGACCAACCCAGGATGGCAACACTGCCTCAACCAATGTTGTGAGTTTGAGGCGGAGCTATCTGTTTGTTCGACTAATGCCATGTTCAACTGTTGCCATCAGAACTACAGAAATCCCACAGTTCACCTAAATTTCAGTTAGTTACCACATGAATATTAAAAGTGCCCCCAAACTACTTTTCTTGATATTTGATAAAGGTGCTTTGTTTTTAAAGTTCGACAGCCCATCATTATATGCTTTTATTGTATGGAAAAGAACAGTGTGCATTCTTTTGTGATCCACAGAAGAAAGTAAGTCATACGGGTTTGAAATGAGATTAGGGTGAGTAAATGATGACAGAATTCTCTTGTTTTCTTTACAACACAAGGGGCAATTCTTAAAAGTAGTAGTTGATGGTCTTACCATGTCGAGGGAACAGACTGCTGTGAGGTCCAGCCTGTAAAAAGAGGGTTACACACATTTTTTTTCTACCCTCTTTAAAAATTAAGTGTAGAGTGAAAAGACACAGAACAGCGTTCTGTCTTCATATCATGAAAAGAACTCTACAATCAAGGTCTCTCCACCGTGTCTAAAGTGTTCCTGAAATGCCCTGACAAGCATGTATTATTTCTTGCCTCTGCTGAGAAGATTGAGTACCTTACACACATACAACAACTGGATTCTTGACTTAAGAGATTGAGAATATGTGAGAAAGAGTTTGCTCGCAGGCACAATTCTTTATGTCCTTGACAGTTCATAAATAGACCAGAAAGCACAACAAACTAAGAAAGGCAACCTTGCCAAAGCATGGTGGGAGACCAGCTAACCATCTCAAGCAAGCTTAGACCCGCAAACCAGGCTTGTTTAAACTGCTTTTTTTTCAGCAGGGATGGAAGACAAAGGTCAAAAAGTTGATAGATAATAGTGCTAGCTTTATATTATTTGCTTATTTTTAAATATTTACATTTTCTGAGGTTGTACAAAGGGGTTATAATGTGGTTATGATGGTGTTTTCAGGTGTCATCGCCTGTTGGTTACTCTTTACTTAAATCAAAAGTTTCCACCCCTAAAATCTCTATGATATTCTGGTTGGATTGTTTTTGTGACCGCTGTGTTTTTTTTTTTTTTTTTTTTGCACCAATGCCTCAGAATGCCTTTTGCCAATGAACATGGTTTGAATTAAATAACGGAGACATCACACAAACTCTTAAAGTTGTGCATGGCATGTGGTTTTGCCTGTTAAAGTCATGGTTGACAGTCCTTTACACTATGTAAAAATTTTGTTATGAAACAACACTACATACCAAGGTATTGACAAGGGGTCTGTTCGGCTTGTAGGTTATCTGGAAGTTTTTGTCTGGAAACAAAACAGTGGCAATGCAAGTTAGACTTGATCATCTTTCAGCTTCTCAGTCAAAACCTTGAATGGATGTTTAGGGTATCTGTTACCTCCCATGTTGGTGTTGTGGATCACTGGCTTGCTCCACATTCCACTACGGTCGTCTTTGTTGGATCGGACGCCGAATTCATAGGGTGTGTTGGGCTTGAGGTTGTCGATAACAGTATCAGAGGTGGGGCAGGTTTGGTAGATCCACTTCCTGTTCCTTTCTCTATAGCGGATGGTGTAATGCCTGGTTTAAAGACACAATGGTTGTTAAAAAGTCTCACAAGTCATTTGTACTCCTTTTTGGCTAGTCATAATCAATCATATGTACTGTAGGGCTGTCAATAGATTATTTTAACCGCACACCTATCGTGAAATTAAGCATACACCGTTTATCTTGTTCAAGACGTTAATTTTGTCATCATTTGATAGTAAAGTAAACCATCAGATTCAAGGGTTATTCTCACAACTGTATTTTTCTGCAAGCTTTTTTCAAGGTAAATTTCAAGGTCTTTCCAGAAATAGACACTTGGAGATTTCAAAAGAACAACAAATAACTAAATGATATAAAGAGTCCATATAATTCATAGATTTATGCACTAACATCACCCATTAAAAACATTACAGTAAAAAAAACAACAACAATGCATCAGCAAAGAGCTTGTTTACATTTTAGACAAGTCAAGTTGTGATACCTAACAGGCTTGTGAATCAATATAACGGACTTAAACATGCTTAATGTACGACTCCTGTATAAAAACTTTAGCACTTAAGACATTGGTTTGGTTTATCCCGCCGAGAAACATAGTTTGTGTATCATCTGGCCACACAGTAGTGGGATGTATGGACATTCCTTTTTGTCTGTATTTCACAAAGCGCAATGCTTTCTCCTCAATCACCCTTCTGGAAAACAATCACAGAATATGACAGATGCAAACGTGCAACGTGAGTCTATTCTCTCTGCCATCTCTGATGTAATCAGCCTGGTTCCCTATCGTAGTCACTTCGAGTTACGTCAGAAGTGACGGAGATTGGGGGTTTCGCATAGAAAGCCAATCCTCTTCGAGTATTAAAACACGAGCCAATGGCATGCAATGCCTTGGGGCTGCGGAAATTTGCATAGCGTACTCCGCCCTACTCCGTGAGTATAAAAGGAGGAAGTGAACGCAACCGCAGTATGTTTTCGCTTCGGAGCCAAGAGAACCTCTTCACTCCTGAAAGCACTGTTCAAGACTCTTCGAGACGAGCGTCCTCTTCAGTGTTGGTGTGACGGCGGTACCCAGCGAGATTCTGCATCGCCTGCGATCTGAGCAGTGGTCTGCCAGACTTTGCGCTTCTCCCTGGTCGCTTCAGCGCTGAAAGAGTGAATTTCCTCCTCTCATTGAAAGAGCTGCACGCGCACGTCTTTTTAAAGACGGTTCGCCCGTGCTCTTCTGGGTGTGATTGATTTCTGTCGTCATCTGATGGTCACGATCGCTGCTTTGTATGCCTGGGCATTTCAGCATGCAGCAGCAGCGTTCGTGGATGACTCATTTTCCTTTGTGGGAACATGACCATCTCTACACTGAGGTCGAGACTCAATGATCTCACTTGAGTGAGAGTCCCGGTCCCCCCCGCTCGATCGGTTTCCTCCATAGGGGGCCCGTCGACCCGGGGACCTGGTGATTTACGGTGATGGTGTGGGATAAAGCCCCGACGATTCCTCGGGCCACACCTCCCGCCTCAGTGCGAGAGCCAGCGAGCGTTAGTTCGATTCAGTCGGTTGCTTCTTCGGTGGCACCGGCTGCTTCGGGCAGCGCTCCAGATGATGATGCGATGTCGATCACAGCATCACTAGGCGGGCTTGACTCCTCGGGAAGTGAGGATGCGGCCGCGTTGCCTCCCTCGGGAGCGTCAGCGCCGCCGTGTCTGATCCCGCGATGATGGCCGTGCTATCTCGGGCGTCCGTGAGCATCGGGTGGGGGTGGAACTCCGCCCCTCCCCGATCTCTCGCGGCTGAATAATTGGTTTTTGGGTAACGCTGCCGCCTTACGGCCACGGCCAACCCCAATTTCCTTTTTTCCCCGAGTTGCATGCGGAACTGACACGCACTAAAAAAAAAAAAAAAAAAAAGCGTGCTTAGTTCCCCGCCCTTCCTCCCCTCGGCGATGCGGCTGTCTGTGGGTACGCTGGGGCTCCCCCGGTCAACCGGCGGTTGCTCTCAGATGCCCCTCCAAAGCCTATGGGTTCTCGTCGTCTATGGCGGCGCGATTCTGTAGAGCGGCGGGACAGGCAGCCTCCGCCCTGCATATGATGAGCACCTACAAAGCTAGCTGCTCAGGAATGTGCACGAGGAGGTGACGGACCAAGCGAGCTGCGAGCCTATCGCCTACCTTGTCCTTAAACGGGTCACGGAGGCGGTCGCTCGCTCCCTTGGTCAGGTGATGCCCACCGCTGTGGTCCAGGAGCATCATAATGTTCGGCGGTGCGGTCCAGGACTTTGCCCAGCACTTCTCGACCGCCTAGGAGCAGACGAAGGCGGTTTCTCTGCCCCGACGGCCAGCTGCTGCCTCCAACCAGCCGTCGGCTCGGACGCCTCCGCCAGCTCGCCGCCGAGGACGCCCCCCTGCGGCTCCCTTCCCTCCCACGCGGCCCCAGCAGCAGCCTTCAGCCGGTTCGCGTCGCGGAGGAGGCCACAGGTAAGCGTCCCCCCCCCCCCCCTCAGGCCGTGTGCCCCGCTAAACGCCAGGCGAAGCGATGTTCCTGAGGCGGGCCGTTCAGTGGTAGTGTCATGGTTTTTCTCAGGAGGCGGTGGCAGGGCCCCTCCTTCCCCGGTGGAGGGCCGGTGGAGAATCTTTTGTTCTAGCTAGCTCCCTGAGCTGGTTGAGAAAAGCTGACACTGTCATTGAGCACACAGACTGGAATGAGCGCGCACGACGTCCAGTGCGTCGCCCCGTTCATTCCTCTCTGTCTCGGAGGGCGCGGAAGGGTGCGTGTGTCGTCCCCGGGCTACGCCAATCCCTTCCCCCTCTGTCGCCAGACCCCCGGCGGAACAGACCCCCGTGGAACGCTCTGCCTTCCCTGGTCTCTTCTGTCGGGGAGCGGGTTTCGACGGTGCATCCGGACGGGGTAACTCCTGCACGCATGCCGGTCGACCCGCCTCGCTGCCCCTCCGGGGGGACGTCTGTGGTTCGCATGACCCCGTTGGCTCACTTCCTGGAAGCCTGGCTAGCGCTTCCCGGGGTTCCCGCTGGGTCATCAGAACGATCGGATTCGGCTACGCGATTCAGTTCGCACGGTCTCTTCCCCGCTTCAGGGGAGTTCGCTCCACGATGGTTGGTGGCAATGCCCCAGTCTTGAGAGCGGAGATTGCGACCCTGCTGGCGAAGGGTGCAATCGAGACGGTCCCTCCAGCCGAGGTGAGGTCCGGGCTTTACAGCCCCTACTTCATTGTCCCCAAGAAAGACCGGTGGGTTACGACCGATCCTGGACCTGCGCATTTTGAACCGTTCTCTCCATCGACTACCGTTCAAAATGCTCACGGCCAAACGCATTTTCGAATGTGTTCGGTATCAGGATTGGTTTGCAGCGATCGACCTGAAGGACGCGTACTTCCATGTCTCCATTCTCCCTCGACACAGACCGTTTCTTCGGTTTGCCTTCGAGGGCCAGGCATACCAGTACGCCGTTCTCCCATTCGGGTTAGCTCTGTCCCCTCGCGTCTTCACGAAGATCGTCGAGGCAGCCCTTGTTCCCCTTCGCGAACACGGGGTTCGCATCCTGAACTTCTCGACGACTGGCTGTTACTAGCACACTCTCGAGCTCAGGTTTGCGAACACAGAGACCTGGTGCTACGGCACCTAGCCCGTCTGGGCCTTCGGGTCAACCGGGAAAAGAGCAAACTTTGCCCCGTGCAGAGGATCTCTTTTCTCGGCATGGAGATAGACTCGGTCGCCATGTCCGCGCAGCTCACGAACGAGCGCGCGCACTCACTGCTGGCTTGTCTTCGACAGTTCGAGGGCAAGAGTGCGGTTCCACTGAAACTATTTCAGAGGCTCCTGGGGCATATGGCATCCGCGGCCGCGGCAACGCCGCTCGGTTTGCTTCATATGAGACCGCTTCAGCTGTGGCTTCGCGATCGAGTCCCGAGGTGGGCATGGCATCGCGGCTCGCTCCGAGTTCCAGTGACTCCGACGTGCCGCCGATCCTTCTTCCCGTGGTCGAACCTCAGCTTTTTACGGACTGGGTCCCTATTCAGCGAGTTTCCAGGCATCTCGTTGTCTCCACGGATGCGTCTACCACGGGTTGGGGTGCCATGTGCAATGGGCATGCAGCCGCCGGTTCCTGGACAGGAGCCCAGCGCCTCATGCACATCAATTGCCTCGAGCTGTTGGCAGTACGGCTCGCCCGGCACCGCTTCCGAGCGTGCTCTAGGGCCAGCATGTGCTTGTCCGCTCAGACAACACTACGGCAGTAGCGTACATCAACCACCAGGGGGGGTCTACGCTCGCGCCGGTTGTCGCAGCTCGCCCGCCACCTCTTGATATGGAGTCAGAAGCACCTGAGGTCCCTTCGTGCAGTTACATTCCTGGAGACCGGAACCGGGCAGCCGCGAGCTGTCCCGGGCCCGTCCCATCTCCGGCGAATGGCGACTCCATCCCCAGTCGGTCCAGCTGATTGGGACTAGTTCGGGGAGGCACAGTTAGACCTGTTCGCCTCTCGGGACTCGTCCCACTGCGCCCAGTTTATTCTCTGACCCGCGGCTCTCTCGGCTCGGATGCGCTGGCGCACAGCTGGCCACGGGGCCCACGCAAGTGTGCGTTCCCCCAGTGAGCCTCCTTGCACGGGTGTTGTGCAAGATCAAGGAGGACGAGGAGCAGGTCTTGCTGGTAGCCCCCTACTGGCCCACCAAGACGTGGTTCTCCGAACTCTTGCTCCTCGCGACAGCACCTCCTTGGCCTATTCCTCTGAGACCGGACCTACTCTCTCAGAGACGGGGCACTCTGTGGCACCCTCGTCCCGATCTTGGAGGCTGCACGTGTGGCTCCAGGACGGGACGAGGCAGGTTTGAGTTCGCTGCCACCTGCGGTGGCGGCAACCATCACTTCCGCAAGAGCGTCGTCCACGTGACACCTTTATGCGTTGAGGTGATACCTCTTCGTCAATTGGTGTTCTTCTCGCTGAGAAGACCCCCGGAGATGTTCGATCGGAGTCATGCTTCCTTCCTGCAAGAGGGGTTGGAGCGCAGGCTGTCGCCCTCCACCCTTTGGATTTATGTCGCGGCCATTGCCGCGTCTCATGATGCAGTGAAAGGTAAGTCTATGGGAAGCATGACCTGGTCATCAGGTTCCTGAGGGGAGTGGGGGGGCTAAATCCGCCTCCCTCCCCTCCTGCCCTCTGGGGACCTCTCAGTAGACCTGGGTGCTCTGCAGAGGCCTCCCCTGGAGCCTTTGCAGTCGGTAGAGTTTTTGCCCTGTCCTATGTGACAGCACTCCTGATTGCATTGGTATCCATCAGGAGAGTAAGGGACCTGCACGCACTCTCTGTTGACGAAGTGTGCCTGGAGTTCGGGCCGGCTTACTCTCACGTATTCCTGAGACCCCGGCCTGGATATATGCCCAAGGTTCCTACCACTCCCCTCCGGGACCTGGTGGTGAACCTGCAAGCGCTGCCCCTGGAGGAGGCAGACCCAGCCTTGGCACTGCTCTGTCCGGTACGTGCTCTCCGCACCTATGTCGACAGAACGCAGTGTTTCAGGACCTCAGACCAGCTCTTTGTCTGTCATGGGGGGAGCCAGAAGGGAAGGGCTCTCTCAAAGCAACGGCTGTCCCACTGGATAGTGGATGCCATTGCTTTGTCTTACCAGCAGCAAGGCCTTCCGTGCCCCCTTGGTGTGACGGCCCATTCCACTCGGAGTGTAGCCTCCTCTTGGGCTTTAGCGCACGGCGCCTCGCTAACAGACATCTGCAGAGCTGCAGGCTGGGCGACACCCAACACCTTCGCCAGATTCTGTAATCTGCGAATTGAGCCGGTATCCTCTCACGTACTCGTTTCGGCCAGTTCTGGATCCGCTCAGGTGTCTTCGCTTGCTCGCCACTCCACTCCCCGGACTGGATAAGTGCGATATTTCCTCAGTTCTTCCATTGAAGTCTTGAGTCCTCCAGCACCGACGATGCGGCACCACTGCGTTGCTCTGGATGCTAGCTAGGTGCCTCCATGCGCACGGTTCCCCATGGTAACCGTCTCATGTGTATTATCCACTGTTAGCCTCTCTGAGCATGTGTCTTCCCTTGGCAAGCCATCTGCCACCCCTGGAGTTTAAATCAGTAGCCACCTGCGGTTGGTACTCCAGTGTTCCATATGCGTTCCTATGTGGCCATATGTGTATTCTTAAGTCCTCCCTTCGGTAGGCAGCTGGTAGCATGTCCCCTTCGGGATATGTTTCCCAGTGTACCTTGGTAATCCTGTGTCAAAGTCGGATCCCCAAAGAAAAAAAAAAAAAGAAAAAGAGAGGTAAGGCTCGGGGGTTCAGTCTTTCGCAGGGCACTGGAAGACAGCTTGAAGATGGCGTGATGGCACAGACCCCCAATCTCCGTCACTTCTGACGTAACTCGAAGTGACTACGATAGGGAACGTCTCGGTTACGTATGTAACCCTCGTTCCCTGAGTAAGGGAACGGAGACGTTACGTCTCCCTGCCACTTCTGCTGTATCGCTGGGTAGAGGCCGAGTTCAGTCTTGGCTCCTCAGCGAAGACATACTGCGGTTGCGTTCACTTCCTCCTTTTATACTCACGGAGTAGGGCGGAGTACGCTATGCAAATTTCCGCAGCCCCAAGGCATTGCATGCCATTGGCTCGTGTTTTAATACTCGAAGAGGATTGGCTTTCTATGCGAAACCCCCAATCTCCGTCACTTCTGACGTAACGTCTCCGTTCCCTTACTCAGGGAACGAGGGTTACATACGTAACCGAGACGTTTTCTTTATCAGCACTGGTTTTGGTCTGATTGTTTGAATGGTTCACTTATTCAATAATGGAACTGAAAACAGTCCCAGAGTTTAACAGTTTAAAAGTGTTCTGATTGCAAACAGGGAAGTGCAATCAGGTTAAAGAGTTTAAATAGAAATTTCTGAGGATTTTGTTAAGAATTTTTAAATTAATCGCATGAGTTAGCATATTAATGTTGACACCCACCCCCAATACTTAGTAAACTGGTTTTCTGTCACCACAGCAGTTCTCAGACCTTAAACAAAGGAGCTGATGTTAGGTTTATAAAGAGCACTGGTACACGTCTTTAGCTCCCAACTGTTTTGGTCCAGGTCAACATTTCCAAATGCCTTTCCAAAAGTTTCCCCTTAACAGAGCGCACATATTTCTCTATAAGAAACCCAGAGCGATTTAGGGAGGCTGAGTGCGTCCCAACAGTGCCTGTATCCTCAAAAAGCATTTAAACATGTAGACACACACTACACCTGCAGTGGCAGGAATCCATATCCTACACATTTTTTTTCCCTCTGCATAGAAAAACATCACACTCATTGAATGGCTCTCTCGGTTGCAACATAAATTCAGTATCCTGTCAGTGCAATGAGAGCATTGCATAAAAACCTGCACTGCGCTGCAACGCTTCTGAAGATGGGACCCCTAAATACTGGAGACAGGGTGCCATGATATTTCATTATCTGTTTTCCCCATGTTTTCCAGGTTAAATGGCCCCTAAATATGAAGTGGAGTAAATTAAGTCTTCCTCAGGGATTTGGGACACTCATATGGAACATGTTGGTGAAGGAAAAAGTAAAATCCAGATGTTGTGAGTGTAACTCACCCGTCCTCCAAGCAGTCGTTCATGATGTTTCCCTCGTAGGGTGTCTTTAAGTAGGTTCCCCAGGATAGTAGCACAGATGTCGGCGTGACAGAATCGATCACCAGGTGAAGAGGTTTGTCCAGGTTCACCTTACCTGTTACAAACCGGTAATCCAATTTAGCAGTGGAATATGTTTTCTAGGTAATGCTAAGTAAAGGTTTTCAAACATTCCCACTGGTTCAATATCACACCTGTTGCATATTTTCCACTAAACATATCCTGTCATGGACTGTTTTTTGATTGCCAATACTTAATTAAAATGAAAAAAGTACCTGTGCAATGCTTCTTCACATCATTGGTTGGGATGGGCTGAACAGCCACCAGATACTTGGGCTCAGCATCTGTGAAAGCAAGCATCTCAAGTTATTTGGGAGTTCAAAGAAAACCATGAAAAGGGCAATTTCATGGTGCAATGCAAGTTCCTTTCATGAACTTCCGGACAACAGAAACTAAATAAGCAAGACAAGAAATGTATAGGAGTCAACAAAAGGAAGACCCCTGTGTGTCAAGGTTAAGTCTCATAAAATTTGATGAATTTACCTTTTTATGACATGAAAAGGTTGATTAGGTTGTAAAAAAAAAAATACATTTTACTTAAAAACAATGTTTTTTTCAAAACAATTGTTTGTTACACCAGATTCCACACAACACATTAAATTTAATATTGTGTTTAAAATGGTACAATAAGAACTTTTTGTAGATAGAGAAAAGATTCAACCTTTTCTTTATCTTGTACACTGTTATTTGTCACTGACACAATTCCAAAAGATTCTAGTGGATGTTTATTTAGTACAAAGTCTCGAGGTGAGTAATGTGAAGCTTTTCACACAGTTTAATAGCACTGTGATGACAATGGTTTGCTAAACATCTGTGTTTCCAATGTAACCGAATTAAACAGCACATTTGCCAAAATTTGATTTGTTGGGGTGATAAGTTTGTTATTTATGCCTTTCTAACAGTTATGAATTTGTACACAGGAAAACTCATTTAGACAGAAGAAAAAAAGAAGAAGCCCATTAGGGTGTACAAAATGTGCCAGTTCCAAAGTCCACAACAATCTGGACATTTATGAGTGCATGTGCATGTGGCATGTCAGGTTGGGACGACGCCAATAATTGCTTTTGCCTTTCGGCCATCTGTTGTGCACGTGTATCATATTGAAATCTCAGCACACACTGTAAATTCAAGAACAATGATCCCTCCGTCTGTGGCCAATATTGAATAATGATGTGACTGTGTGTTCCTCTGCTGAATTGCATAGGTAAAGAAGCCAAAAACTCAGAGGCCCTTCCTTTTGGAACAAACAATTCTTTGTTTGCAAGTTTCTGGATAAGGGTATAAGCATTGATGTATAATTTTGTTCCGCTTGCATCAGTGCTTTTCATTGTGGAGAACTTCAAAGGCTTTGACTCTTAAGATCTTGTCCTCTACAATCTTAAATCACATGTTGTTTGTCATCAACACTAGTGCCCAGAATTGGATTTTTAAGGATGTTAAGATTCTGGCGGACACTGATGAGCAGATAATTATTTTCATGTTAGGGCCGATAAGTACGGAAGCTTGTTTCTACCATGGAATTTTATGGATAATTGTGACTTATCTTACAATTCTGACTTTTTTTCTCACAATTGTGAGATAATAAACTCGCAATTTTGACTTTCTTCTTGCAATTTCAAGTTTACATCCTGCAATTCTAACTGAGATATTAACTCGCAATTGTGAGTTATAAAGTCCAATTCTGAGGAAAAAAAAAAATAGGGCTTGGGACCTATATCAAAGATGCAATATCAAAAAATTATCCGATGACCAATATGATATCAATAAATCCACAAGCAACTGAAGTCTACCTGCAGAAGCAAAATTAAGCATCTGGCATGAACCCTTTGGCTTGAGGGTCCCTCTCACCTGGCCCTAACCTACTGTACTCAAAATGAATTCTGGGATTGTAGCTCCTGGGAGATTGATGATGAATGGACAACACAGGAAGTTATTTTACAGACACAAAATTGTTGTGGTTAGTCTTACTGGGAGTAATGTCCGACCTTTTTACCTTGTCAAACGTGATCTGTGGCTTTTTTGTTGACAAATGCTGTGGTTACCAAAGCTTTAACAAATAGCATTCATTTTGAGTTTAATTACAGTTTATGCTTTCAAATAATGGAAGAGTTGGCGCAAACATAGGTGTGCAAATCAAGACGGTGGTTTTGTTGGGTTAAGGAATCAACCATTTGTGGTTACTCCTCCAGTCCCATGCTAACCCACAAAACAACATTAGTGATTGTTTTGTGGGCTTCCATCAGGCTCTTGAGCGAAATAACAGCTGAGTGTGGTTATACTCTAACTCACCAATCTCGGTCTCATAGGGTTCCCCGTTTTCTGGAAGTTGGATGAACTGTTTGGAGAACATGCTGGAACCATAGCCTAAGATGTAGCCCTCCAGTTTGATGTCAGGGTTGGGACGAACAAACTTCAAAACTATGGTATCCCCAGTGGCGTTGATCCGAACCTTCATATTCTGTCTTCTTACTGTGCGGAGGAAAAAGCAGTGTTTGTAATATTTTAATTGGCTTAAGAAACAGTGCTGCATCTCTTCAAACACTCTGTTTCTTTGTTTGACATTCAATGGCAGGAATAAGGAAATGCACAGAAATAGTGACTTTCAGAACACGGCAATGAATAAATGATTAATTACTTAAAGAGTAAAGAGTAAGACATTATGTTTCCCATGTGTTGGATGGGATTTGTGAATTTATGGGGTTTCCTGATTTATGTGGCCAAAGGGGGGAGAAGGAGTGTACTTTTGAGAAGTGCAAAAGTGTGTGTGCCATGAAAATATTCGTCGAGGTAAATCAAGGACAATTGCTTTCACAGTTGAGCTCCTCATCGCCTCACTCAAAGCACAGTAGCATATGGACCTCCAATATTCCACCCATTTACCCAGCATTATATTTACCAGAGAATTATGAGGCTTTGTACAGTTTCAGAATATGACACTGACACACATTTAGTGATTTGATCATTTTCTTTTCATACCTGCGCCAAGCAATTCATTATAAATTTACTCCTTTTATACCAGCGTCATCTTTCACTGCCATTTCATTGGATCATTTTCAGCATGGAAAATGTTTCGAGTCAGTTTCAGGCCCGTTGTAAAACCAATAAGCCACCAGGCTGGGTTGAGATTTTTCCGCTTCCACCTTTTTCCCATCAATCAGAACTATTTAACGATTATGCTGAGTTAAAGAGGCCACGAAAAGTCCTCCTTAAACTGATTTAAGCTGGTTGGTCTCGGCCTTTGGAAAGTGATGTGTGTATTTTACTTTATAAGTAATTGCAAGCTTGGCAGGTCAAGCTCATCGCCCCAATTTGTCAATCACAATGAAGCACCATTAATCAGGCTCATTAAAGGGACAGTTCATCCCAAAAATGAAACTTCTGTCATTATGTCACTCCCAAATCATTTGATGTCGGTAGAGCAAAATATTTAAAATTCTGAAAAATCTTCACAGCGACATTTCATAGTGACCACCAAAAACCACCATAAAAGAGGTTCATATAATAGTGAACAGCATTACACCAAATTTCCTTAAATCATTTCACAGCTTTGTGTGAGAAACTTTAGTAAGCTGTTAATAACTGCTGTAATTAGATCATTGATTCAATGAGTTGAAAGCAAGAACTGGATCAGTGAAAGAATATTTACTTTGAGCCTATTCTTTTGAATGATCTAGTTTATCCATTCATGAATGAATCAGTCAGTCCGGCTTGTGAAATGGATAAACATTTGGCATGAAAGAGCAGTCTAAATGAATAAATATGTATTAATTATTCCTGTTCTTGAGTTCAACTCATTGATTCAGTTACTATCATTCTAGAGTTAACTGCTCACCAGAGGGGAAGATTTCCAGTAAATAATGACTTAAATGTGGAATTTCCTGACATAAAGCTATTGTATGACTTCAGAAGACTTAGGACCCTTAGCCTGGGAAAACCCAGACAACTTCCGGCAAATTTAGATTTGCTTTGGAAGTTAGTCTGGCAAAGAGCTCATTCAAACCCATTTCCAATCCGTCGAAATCGTGGCACCAATCAGAAACGTTGGAGCGGGCTTTACACGATGACGACAGCGCTGGGATTTTGAAGCAGATTTTGTACCCTACATTACAAAGATGGATGCTGCCATCGAACAGCACTCATTCGAATCAGCTATCGCATCTGTTGTAAGCGATTTGAACGTTTCCTTTTTGTTAAAAACGAGCAAAGAGCAACACTCGGAGCAACACTGACGCCCCTCTGGAAATGATTTGTCTATGATGCTTTGCCACACCATAACTCAGTTACAACTGAGAATGGTCTGGTTTTAACCAGGCTATAGGGCCCTATTTTAACGATGTGAAAAGCATCAAGCACAAGGCCCAAGTAAATTTGTGGGTGGTTATTGGGCACTGTTGCTATTTTACTGGCGGGATAAATGACTCTTGTGCCCGACGCAAGTTTAAAAGGGGTTGGTCTGAAATAGCTTCATTATTCATAGGTGTGGTTTGGGCTAATGTGAAATAAACCAATCAGGGCGTCATCCAACATACCCTTTAAGAGCAGGTGCGCATGTTGCATGGCGGATTGTCATTATTATGACGTATTAACCAGACGCACAGGAGCGTTCAAAGCCGAGGAGACCGACGTTCTTGTCAGGGCAGTGAAAGACAATAGAAGTGACGTTGTATGGGGATGGGAGAAACCCCCACAAATCAGCGTCGGTTAAACATTATATCCATATGTGTCTTGCCACTATTGGGCAAACAGGTCTGATCCGTCATTAAATAGTCTGAAAAAAATGGGTAATTGGTAAGCTAGATTTAGGCCTACATTTTTTTACATCTACATGGACACCACAAAATGATTTCCCTCATGTGTTTATATGTTTCCTTATTGTAATGTATGATTTGCAAAAATAAAAACTGCTGCATCTGGGTTGATGAGAGAATGAAAGTGTATGCGCGTTGTGCACCCGCTACATTATGGCCAAGCATGCGCGCTTAAAATAGCATTATGAACAACGCGCAACGCATCACTGACTTTAAACAAGGTTTTTTCTGGTCAGTAGCGGAATTGTTTTCTGGAACTGCAAAATAGCACAAGAGAATGTTTGCGCCGAAACACGCCTCCTTTTTGCGCCGACCAAGTTAATTTCCTACCGGCGACGTGCGTCGGGAAAAGCTCGCTTTGCGCGGGTGCAAAATAGGAATGATAAATGCGCCAGTGTACAAAGCCATTTGTGCTAGGTGCAAGATATGGCCCTTATAGTACATGAATTTGGACCTTTTTATGATACATTAAAAAAAAATGTTTTGGATGTAAATCATATGAACTTATTTTGTTTGGAAATAAGCTGCATAAGATTTGTTTTCATTGCAAGATTTTTGTGTTTCCAAACTGTCTAAGCAGACACCTTTCAGATCCCACAAGCAGAAAGGTGGAACATCTACGACATGATTCAGTAACTCGTCTTCTTAATCTTTAGAAATCAGTTAAACAAACAAGTTGTGGAAGTGTGTGTGGTCAGGGAAGCTGCTGAATTTGTACAAGGGAAAAATACACACTTCTGAATCACTGGGATCATTGTAAAATAAACTCAATGGAGAGAACTTTAAAATGAACCCTTCTTTAGGTGTTTTTTACATTACAAAAATGTACTATATCACTTTGATAAACTATAATTAAAAGGCAGGCACAGTCTTGTTTCTTTATCAGATGTCTTTTTTAGTTGCTAAATCGTGTCAATGTAGCTTTAGATTGGGGCCAAGGCTCTGAGTCACGGACAGGCTGGACACTTGCGGTTGAGTGGTGTTGTTGGTTTATCTGTTCACACCAGCTTGTCACCACAGAGGTTTTAAAAGCCGTAGCTGAGGGATTTTCCGTTCCCAAAATGTAATAGCTTTACATCTGACAAGAATCGTAAAATGTCGATTTGCAGTTACAAGAGTTTTACCATACCAGTGGAGAAGGGCTGGACAATGGTTTAACCTCTACGGTCAAGGAAAAACACAATCACATTTTTCAGGGGAACATGCTGGTCAAATCATGCATCATTTTGAAAGGCTCAGAGTCTGAAACACATTCTTATTACAAAATGAACAAGCCAAAACATTTAAACTTTGATAGAGAGAAAAAAAAAACATTTCACATTCCCAATGGATTCAATTACTTGACTAATAATATGTTTTTAGCCAAGTCATGTTGTGCACTTCACTTTGCAAAGTTATTATCATTCAGTAATTGGTATGTTTTGCACCAAAGTTCAATTGAAATTCTGGCTTCCAGTCACTTGGATTGATTCTTTCATATGTTTTTGAATACAAAGATTTGATGTTATACCTTAAAAAGCCAGAGACACAGAGGGAGGGCAAATAGTACAGATTTGGAGCGGGAAGCAAAGGGGGAAGGTATATCTCATTTGACACCACTGACAAGCGTAATCATGCATGCTCTTTCCTGGCTCAGATGTTGAATGATTTCCAGGTTCAGACTGATCAGCCAAAGACCAGCCCCAAGCTGTGTTCTGTCAGATACGGTTCGTTTTTAGCTTTATGCTGGAATATGGTCCAGTTTTATTATTGGATGTCTGGCACTTGTTCCACTTAAAACATAATTTACAAACACACTGATTTCTAGAAGGGTCAGTTTGATTTACAGCATTCCTCCTGGACTGAATCCATGCTACACAAGTTACTTGCCAAGTCTGCATTCGAAATCAGTCCAATTTATCAAATCAATCTCAAACGATTTCAGTTGTTCCCCCCCTTCTGTTCAAGACTTTAAATAAGCAAATTCAAGAAAACTAAAACTGATTTGTGGCTTTACAATGAACGACCACCAAAGGGTTAGTTCACAAAAAAAAATGTTGTATTCTGTCACTATTTACTCACCCTCATGTCCTCCAAATCAAATCTGTATGACTTTCTTTATTTTCTTCAACGTCAGTTGGGTCCAAAGTTATTTTGTCATTGCATAGACAAAAACTGTTGAAACATTCTTCATTTGCAGACGAAAAAGTCATGCAATGGAACGACATGAGAGTAAGCATTCATTTTTGGGTGAACTATTTCTTTAAGTCAGCACTTTTCATGGAAAATTCAGAAATCTGGTCCTTCTGCAGAACTCCAGGCTCTTTTGCTCCCCATTAAATGACAAACATGACCCAAATATCCAAGAAGATGATTTAAAAATGGCACTAAACTTCAGAAGAAGCAAATCACCTGAGGGTGCAGGGGGAACGTAAATCTAATGTTTTCCCATACATCAGCAAATCATTCGTCTTTCAGGCACATTTACAACAGTCCTGATCTCTGCACTCAACAGCTGTTCCCATCTCCCCTTCACCTCCCAATTCCTTTCATCCACTCTGTCTTGTTCTGACTTTTCGGAGTAATTCATCTAGGCACATTTTGATATTATCAACCAGTATTAGTGGCATACAGACAACCCTTGATTGCTATCACCACTCCTAAACACATGCTCATTTCAAAATTCAATGTTTGTTTCCCCAATAACATTGGGCTGCAGTTCCCAGGGTGCATTGTGAACCTCTATGGCTTGCTTTTACAGTACAGCTGCCTGCACATGTGTTGTTACGTCTTTGCCCCACGGCAACTCGAAGTACAGTAACAAGTAGAAGCTATGTCTAAGTCGAGTGAACATGCAGACAGCTCAGACTGCTGTTTCCTTTTAAGGCGTCAATTATCAATTCATCACTCATGCTGAAAAATTTAAACTAGACTAAGATGGTTTGCTGGTTTTAAACTAGTTTAACATGGCTAAGATTGGAGAGCCAAAATCTGCAGGACAGCGGCTCTCTAGGACCAGTCTGGCCAAGCTTGTCCAACCTGGTCTATCTGGTCTTCAAATCTGGCCAATCTTGTCCTACCCGGTTTAGCTGGTCTCCCGACTTGACCAAGCTGGTATACAGCTGTTTCACAGAAGTGGTCTCCAAGCAAAACGAGCTGAAAACTGCCCAAAACCACTGCCTGGTGCAAACCACACCAGGGCAATCAGATAAGCGTATTTCTTTTCAGCAAGAATGCGATATTTTTAAAATGTCTTCACTCTTGTTGAACTCATCCCCACCCAGTAATTTAAACTGTCTTTTTGTTTAGTCAACATCCATAAGGAAACAAAGTTAGCCAACAAAGTATAAACAGAGAAAGCTGCAGGGCTGATTGACTAGCTGTGATGAATGAAGCTCAGTACAAGAGAAAGGGCATTGAGCCAGCGCAGACATTCTTCCCCTCCGGAGATGGAGGTGATTTTTAATAGCTGATGAACGAGCACTGATAGTGAACAGAGAGCTTGTATTACTAATGCCATTGCTAATCTGAGCACACAGGGATGCTGTGGTCATGAGATCTTGCACAGAAACACGCCACATATGCACATACAACTCTAGCATTATGAAGGATGGTGTTGGAAAATATTTAGACACAAATGCACTTTGCATGCACAAATGCATTCGCACATGCACTAGACTAGAACACACACAATCAAACACCATCATGGAACAGATACATACACACATACATGCACAATAGAAACTGTGATTTTGGCCAGCTGCATACACCATGAGGTAACCATTATCACTCTGTTTAAAATTTGATTTCATTTCACAACTAGCAAAGACAGAAAATCTAAGTGCCTGGCTGGTTTCTCAAGTTGGACTCTGGACAATGGCAGACAGATTGCACATGTCTAATTTTCCAGCACCTTTCAGGCTCCAGTTATCCTTTATTTTTTTTCCCTCGCGCCTTTGCAGAGTTTGGCTTCGCCCCATCTACAATCATGTGAGACTGACTGCTGCCTATAATTCCCATAAGACAAACTCAGTTCTGCTCATGCATGTTCAAATGCACCTGCAAGTTCAAGATTTATTGCATGTTCTTAAAAATGAATGAAAATTAAACTTGATGACCAGTCCAAGGCAAGGCAGGTTAATGATAATGAAATTTCTCCTATAGGTAAAGCTCAGCACCTGCAACTCCAACAAGAAAATCTTTAACTATTACAATCCTAATTATGCGAGAACTACTGCAGAAATGCATGGCATTCTCAAACACAAACAGGTGCATCACAAAAATGAAACACGAGTGCCCCTTTTCTGCAAGCATGCGGCACCGTGGTGCTGAACTTGCCTCTGACTCTTTGCGCGGAGCTGCATGCGAGGAGGAGAATTCCTGCGAGCGTCAGAAGGAAGCCCAAGTGAAGGACAGTGCTGCCTGCCATGGTGCTCTGCTCCAATCGAGAAGGGATGCTGCCGGACTTCTCTAAGACAGTTGCTGCTGGTTCTTCTGCTTGAGTTGGTGTCAGGTCAAGACTTCTTGAGCTCACTGTGTGCCTCTGCTGAGTGATAGACAGTGCGAGGAGTCCTCTAGGATGTATAGTGATCAGGGAGGGAGGAGATTGCTGATGTGCGCCTCAATCACACCCACCTTCACAGATCCACACACAAACACACGTGTGTGTGTGTATGTGTGTACGGTGGGGGTTAGAGGCATGGCTTTCATTTACTGGGCTTGCTCGACCACACACTCTCACTTTTTCTTCCATCAAGGATTTTTCCCTGCAGCTTGTGGGCGTGCATGTCTGTGCTTGTGCGAGGCTGTTTCCTCCAAAATCTGATTAGACCTAATACACGGACTTGGGGCACCCCTATAATTTCAAACAGCCTAAAGGGAGTTCAAGAAGGACAATGAATGATAGAGTATATGAGCATGGGCAGGCAGATGGCATATGCCTCTCTTGATCCAGTGATTTGACCTGGTGGAAAGTACAGTATCCCTCGATTTCATCATCACGGACAGAAGCACTTGTCTATCTGCGGCCATTGCTAACCGCTGCACATTACGTCTCGTCTAGAAGGGCATCCAGCCTCACACTCCTTGCCAAACAACTTCACCTCCAGGGACATAGGAGGGGTGGAAAGCGATTATAATGAAAGTGCTTCTAACACGTGCCACTGCATGCGACATGCAAATAGAAGCACTCGTTCCAGTGAGTCTCGTCTGACCCACAGGATGTGAACAAAGACATATTCATGAATCAAGCTGCCCAAAAATTATGCAACTACAGCGGCAGCCTAGCATGTGTCTCCTACTACATCATCAGTACAGAGCACCATAAAACTTGAGATCTACTTTAGAATGTCCTGTGCTCCGAGAGGAGTTATTTTAAAGAGCATTCCAAGCACAAAAACAACACCTACAACAACAAAAAAAATACTAGAAAAGAAAGGACAATTTGGAAATCCACGCCCTATCATGACTCAAACAAAACGTCACTCATTTGCAGCTGTGGTCATGTCTAGGACTGCTTGCTTTACCAAAACAACAGTTACAACAATGTGAGTTGCCAGAATCAACTCAACAGGCCGTGCGATGCCTCTGGCTAGAGTTTTAACCCCACATACATCTTTCTGGTGCATATATAAAAATGGGTTCTACAGCTGGTACCACTCTGAGTCTCTGTGATTACCTTGTAAAGTCTTAATGAGTTACTTCAAAAGACCGAGCTGGATAGCGCTGAGGCTTGGACAAATTAGAGAAGACTTGTAGACCAGAATCAGGTCATTACAGCTTTGTTTTTCATACCTGGAAACATGTTGACCTGGAACCCTTCTTATGAACATGCTTCAAATTGTTATGCTGCCATTTAACTGCCTAACAATTGCTCAAGAGGTCAACCTTTCAACTGAGCAATGGATTTTGCAATGTTTCAGGTTGAATCGTGGTATGTCACCTTTTTTGGTTATAGAGTTCATTTGTAAGGACATCAAATACAAGCTACTGGACCAGCATGGACTGGTGGACCAGCATAGCCAGCATGTAAATCGTTTGAATCCTCATAGGTATTTGCGCACATACTCAAAAAACGATAGTGGACTTGTGCCAATTAATACTAGACCTTGTAAATTCATCATATTTAAAATTATTTCAGTAGCACATGTTTGTTTTCTATAATATCAAGAACTGTGAAATTTTACACATATTGGTATCGACTGCAGAAATTGTGTCTATACTACCAGAGGAACACACACATATGACACACGGTCTGCTCATGGCCTCTCCTGTTACATATCAAGATGATGAGTGTTGAAACTACAGGAAAGACATGACGGGCTCCATGCAGTGTGTATGTCATAGAAATCATGGCTTATATAACAGCTTCACCATGCCTGGCCTGCAAATTGAGCTTCTAAGAAGGGAAAATCATTCTTAGCCTTACAATGCAGCCATTGTCTTTTAGCCTTGAGCAAATGGCATCAGTTTAAGGAGTGTGACGCGGCTCTATGAAATTGATCTAAAAAGGAAACAAACATTTAAAGCCTCCCCTCCAGCATCCCTTGTTATAGGTTTACAGTGTATAACAGCTTATATAAATGAGATGTTCCATGACCCAACTGTCAGGTTGAGTTGCCTTCTTCACAGGTATCACTGTCACAGTCTGTACTAATGCTGCTCAGGTTTGGGCTTGTTCTATTATATTTCAATGGATGAGAAGTTAAAGCTGTCTTATTTATTTATTTTTTCTCAGAACATCTGCACTGCATGGTCTATATTACTGCAAAAATGGCCAATGAAAACATCACCTCTGGTTAATGGCAAATTTTCTGATTCTGGATTTTTTGGCACACATCAAGCAATTCCTCAAATTTCAAGGCCAGTTTGGTATAAAGATGTGTACATAGGAGCATTGTCAGTCCCATCTGTGAGATATTTTATGCTTAAATGAAGCCCGGCTCAAAGTGGCTCCAAATTACTACAGCAAACGTCCAAAAACACTCTCTACTGACTTTCACCAACAGACTCCAGACACTTAATTTACCCGTAAATGAATTCAACTAGAGAAAAGAGAGGTTGCGGAACTGACTTTTAAATGCTAAATATACCACAAAGCTTTTTTTATGGTTATACTTTTAATCTGTTAAGGAAAATGTACCTGTATATCGGTGCAAATGTTCAACTATTTATGTCAAAACTAGTGGTGGGCTGTTATCGGCGTTAACGTGAGACTCTTATCGGGCGATAAAAAAAATATCGCTGTTAATCTGTTCTCAAAGTTGGGTTGGGAGCTGGGTCTATATTACGCAAGCTATGATGACTTTCACTTTGATATTTTAGCGCAGATGTATACCTAGCCAAATTGCACTGTAGGGGTCATTTAATAGCAATATATTGAAACGTCTGTTTATCCATTCTCCCTAATAAAGGAGGCCAGACATTAGAAAAATATCAGTCTATGTGTTTTAAATTTAATATGAGGGTAATACACATCCGTGACGAACGTAACACAATTTTTTTTTTTAATTTTAATACTACCCACTAATACTAGATTCATTCCAATATTACAGTGAGATTAATCTAGATTCAAAATAGTGAATCTTATGCCCATCACTAGTCAAAACTTAAAAAATGTTTTGCATCTGGAAAGGTTCTAATGTGCGTGTTTGGCTTTATGTACACATTCAAAACTGAAAAGCCACTGAAATTCCCTGCTGAGTCACATAAACCATAGTTAATTACACATCATCGCCCTCTGAGGAAAACACTCACCTGTTTTTTTGACATCCACTCATCATTTGCCTGCTCCTACCCTCCAGTGTTGTGTTTTCCTCTGACCCAGATGCATTACACTGATCACAAAGAGCTCCAGCATGTGCTCATGAACATTAACCTCTATTCTTAAACCATCAGTCATTGTATTCTATCTGCTGGAGTGGATTACAGAACATGCTCTTCAGCGTGTAACCAGCTGTTACCTTAGACATTACCATGGCCTGCTCATTTGAGCGAGGATTGGAACAGAACAGACTGTAACATTACAGCTGGAAGTTGTACATAAATAATTGCCTGTGAGCGGATGGTGGCCATGACAGGTTTATGTTTTGTTTTGGTGAATGAAAATGAGAGGACGGCATGGCCTTTGCAGGAACCAGCCAATGCTTGAATTGTATCATAGCTCAAAAGAATTTCCAAACCTTACTCCTAAATCAAATTTAACGAACCTAATAGCATACAGTAATAGAAAGACATACAGTGATAGAATGAGTAATAGAATGACGTCATGCTGTTTTGTCCGGATATATTGATTTATTTAGATGAACAAACAATGCTATTATGTTTTTGATTTGTGGATTAAAATTAATTTCATATTCGGAGGGGATTTCTAAAATCAAAAATGTCAGAGTGAACTATATATAATATTAAACTTCTATCCGCCAAATCAATGTCATGTGGTGTGACTTTTATATGTCATTCGCTGCTTTCTATTACCCTTCAAATTGTACAAATCGAAATTGCGAAAATTGAAAACACCCAATGGAAACACGGCAATTTCGCAAAAACTCCCATATGTCATCACAAACAATATTTTGCAAAACTCCAATGGAAACAGTTTTTCACATTTACAGGTCACCTGACGTATGAAAGTTGACCATTCTTTAAAGTCAGCATGAAATCAAATTTGACAAATCTTTTTATATGTAATATTGTAGTGTTTATTATAAATGATTTATCTGTGCACTTCATTATTTTTTTTTTTTAATTCATGTACCCTTATAATCTTTAATCAAATACATTACCCTTCTCTCCCCCATCAAAACGACCTCTCTTCTATTTCGGTCACGTACAATGGCGAAAGGTTGCGGCCAGATCCGGTGAGGGTGCGGCTATCCGTGAACCGCCTCTCAGAGAATCGCATTCAAATCTTCCTCCATTTTGTTTCCAACGCCCAATCTCCAAGGATCCAATCAATTCCCAAAGTACAAAATCAAGCCAATTTCAGAAGCTGATTCACTCGGATATACGTCACGACAAGTTACATAAACCTACCAAAAGCCGTTGCCATGATGTTTGTAATGACTTATCGCAAGAGGTTTTAATCGCAAAACACTGATTAATGGAAACGCCGTGATTTTAAACATTTAGAAAGTATCGCACGAATCTGTAATGGTAACCATGTTACTGACTAGCATTGTTGGGGATAGTAATGTTACAATATATAGATTACTAAAAAAGTAACTAATTGTGTTACTTTTTCTCACCTGGGATTGCTTTTATTTTGGCAAATGCAAGGGTCCTTTCAGACCAAAAGTGAAACGAATAAGCCTGAGGCTGAAGGAAATGCAAACTCACCCCTGTACAGTAGAGGGCGCAGCTCAAACAAACCTTTAAGCCGTACTTACATTCTAGACTGCAGAAGAATAGGATGGAGAAGAAAGTTCAACACTCTTACTCCATCAATAAATAAAAAATAATAAAAACAAATGTGCTTATTAGTATTGTTGACCTCATCAATCGATCATCAAAGATGAGCAGCAAAGACAAGTTAATAAAGTGAGATCAATAATGTATATTTGTATTCGTTT